TGCTGATATGGTCATCTGTTTTTGTTTTTTGGGCATATTCAGGAGTTATCTGTGGCCTTAATACTTAGATAGGTGTGTATTTTGGTATTTTTTATGCTTTCTGATTGCCTCCAGGTAGATGTGATCAGTAGATCAGATTCCCTTTTCACTTTTCTTGCGTTAAAGTTTTAAGATGCCCCTGTTGGTTGTTGTGACATAAGTCAGGATTTAATTTTCAGCCTATTTCCTTTTCAGTCTGCCTGTACCACTCCACAACCCTCATTCAGGCCTTTTTTCTAGTGATAAACAGTTCAGGGCTCGCTGTGGCCATTTTGCACTGCTGCTTGGTTTTAAGTGGAAACTGTCACTTTAAATTTTGAGGAGATCTGTGCATATGTGTAGTAGAACCATCTGGGTGTGGGGTGTCCACTCGCTCAGGCACCCCCTCTGGTCTCTAGAATGGAGGTGCGCAGCCAGCAAGAGACCAATGAACAGATTTAAAAAAAAAAATGTCCACACCTTTATCTCCACAGTTGTCAGGCATCTGTGGCTACTCTGATCCTTCCCCCACTTGGTTCTCATCCAAGATGGCGGCTCCAGGAGCAGTTGAGCATCTTGAATTAGAAAGCAATGAATTTCTTGTTTCTGCTACAAATTCCCCTAGCTATAAGCCTTCCAACCTTCTAAATATTCTTTAATATGTGGATAAGAGTTCTGGGACCATCCCCTGAGCCTGCTTCGTCCGGTATTATGTGTTGTTGCTGACAGAGCTCATCATGTCACTTCTACCCGATATGCCATCTTGTTTGTTCTCCTGATTGATTTTTTTTTTTTTCTTTTTTCTGATTGAGTTTTAAAATAATATTTTTTTTGTGTTTTTTGGTGGGAACGAGCCAAGGAAGAATGAAAATCAAATCTTGATGTTTTGTCGTCTTCTTTTTTTTTTTTTTTTGAATAACTGCTATTTTCTATTGATTTTCTTATGATTTTTTCCATTCAACTGTAAAGTCCACTTGGACTTTATTCTGGACTGTGGATCAAAGTGTGCAGGTGTGTGCAGAGGTTTACTGGGAATCTCACTGCCAGTGTTAAATTTCTGTTCTTAAAACTTTGTAGAAATTTTTGTATTTTACAACAGAAAAACCAGAACACCATTAAAGAGAATGTTGACACATTGTGGAAAATATAACTAATGTCACTGATCAATTTGTGTAGAAATTTCTGTGACTTTTACAGGGGAAAAAAAAATCCGATAAAGTATTTTTTCTAAAAATTTGTATTTTACTTTACAATATAACTATGCTTGCTTTTATTAAAGATGATAGAAATTATACTAGGAAGATGCCTCATATTTACTTTGTGACTTTATACACCAAAAAAATTGGTTGATGTTCACATTTCAAGAAGTAGCATATGATCAAGACCCCTTCTATTGAAGGAAGAAGTCCAAGCTGCACTCCAGGCACTGGTGAAAAACAAGACTCCGGGAATTGATGGAATTCAAGTGGAAATGTTTCAACAAACAGATGCAGTGCTAGAAACGCTCACTCCTGTATGCCAAAAAATTTGGAAAACAGCTTCCTGGCTAACCTATTGAAAGAGACTCATATTTGTGCCCATTCCAAAGGTGACCCAGTGGCATGCAGAAATCCTCAAACATTATCATTAATATCATATGCAAATAAAATTTTGATGAAGAGGATTAAAAAATTATTGTAAACAACACCAACAACAAAAAAAACGGTTGTAGCAGTTTATCAGCAGGAGCTGCCAGAAATTCAAGCTGGATTCACAAGAGGATGTGGAACGAGGGATGCCATTGCTTAAGTCAGAAGGATCTTGGCTGAAAGCAGAGAATACCAGAAAGATGTTTACTCATGCTTTATTTACTGTGCAAAGACATTTGACTGTATGGATTATGACAAGCTGTGGATTATATACACTAAGAATAGGAATTCCACACCAGTTATTGTGTTCATGCGTAACCTGTACATAGACCAAGAAGAGAATGAGAGGATATTGAATGGTTTAAAGTCAGAAAAGATGTTTGGCAGAGTTGTATCCTTTCACCATAAACAAATAATCTGAGAAACTGGGTTATATGAAGAAGAATGTGACATCAGGATTAGAGGAAGACTCATCAACAACCTGTGATATTTAGATAACACAACCTTGCTTGCTGGAAGCAAAGAGGATGTAAAATACTTGCTTATGAAGATCAAAGACTACATTCAGCCTTCAGTATGGATTGTACCTCAATGTAATAATGAAAGTGGAAATCCACACAACATTATGATAAATGTGGAAATGATTAAAATTGTCATAGTCATTTTGCTTGGATCCACAGTCAGTGCTCATGGAGGCAGTAGTCAAGAAATCAAAATATGGGCAAATCTGCTGCCAAAGGCATCTTTAAAGTGCTGAGAAGCAAAGATGTCAGTTTGAGGACTAAGGTGCGCCTGACCCAAACCATGGTATTTTCAGTAGCTTCATATTCATGTGCAAGTTGGGCAGTGACTAAGGAAGACCGTAGAAGAATTGATGCATTTGCATTATGGTGTTGGAAGAGAACACTGAAAGTACCCTCGACTGCCAGAAGAATAAACAAATCTGTCTTGGAAGCAGTACAGCCAGAATACTCCTTAGAAGTGAGGAAGGTGACACTTCATCTTTCAGACTTTGGACAGTTGGTCAAGAAGGACTAGTCCCTGAAGAAAACATAATTTTTGGTAAAACTGAGGATTACTGATAAAGAGGAAGACTCCAGTGAGATGGATTGACGCAGTGGCAACAGCAGTGGGCTCATACATAACAATATTTGTGAGGATGGTGCAGGATCCTTCTTGGTACAGTGTTTTGTTCTGGTGTGCAGAGGGTTGTTATGAGTCAGAGCCAATTTGATGGCAAATAACAACAACAAGATACTTTCTAAACACTGCTGCTACCTCTGGAGGTTGGAGAAACTCATTTTGGGAAATACGAGTATAATCTGTAGACTTAAATTAATTTTCTCGCTAGGTTGATAATTTCAGTGTTATTGATCAACTACTCTCCTTGTCTAATTTAAAAAACAGAACAAAACAATACATTGCTTATTCTTTATTCCAAAGAAGCCTGTGATTCTATGTATCTATTATTGTTGTGGTGAAAATGTATACAACAAACACACCAGTTTAACAGTTTCTATCTGTATAATTCATTGACATTGATTCCATTCTTTAAATTGTGTTCTGTTTTTATAACCGTATTCCCTTGATTCTTAGGTACTCTTTTTTTTCACATTTTAAATGCTATGGTTTTTAACTGATGTGTACATTTAATGTAGTTATTTCTTCTGTTTTAAAAGGTTGTCATTTAATTGGGTGTATATTTGGCAATTCATGGTGTTTAGGAATTGGGGCACAGGGGACTTCATGGATAGTCAGTCACCTCAGGTGTTTCTGGGCATTTGAAAAGGAGATCTTCTGAAACCTGTTTCTTTCTCCCTGTTGTCTGGCTTGCCTATTCATGGAACCACCTCTTGTTGCAGTCTACTTTGAGACATATGGCTGCCAGATGAATGTGAACGACACAGAGATAGCCTGGTCTGTCCTCCACAAGAGTGGCTACCTGCGAACCAGGAACCTCCAGGAGGTACACGCATCCCCTCCTTTCCCTCGTTTCCTGGGCCTGGGGGAGACTGCCAGTTCTCAGGTGCAGTTTCCGGAACAGGGGCAGCCTGGTGGGATTGTGCTTTCTTGAGTGAAGTGTGTACCATGAGGCTACACACTTTGTAATTTAAAAATTTTCCCTCATAATTAAAAAATTCTTCTGTGAAATTTATATAACATAAAATGAATCATTTATGTAATTTATGATAATCCAGTGGCAGTTAGGGCATTCACAGTGTTGGGTAATCACCCCTTCTCCTTAGCTCGCCACCATTTTCCTTACTCCAATAGGAAGCCTTTTGTCCATTAAGCAGTCCTTTCCCCCAGCCTTGCTGGGTTTACCTCTTCAGGATATTTCATATCAATGGAATCGATAATATATGACCCTTTATTTGTGGCTGCTTCCACTTAGTATAATGTTTTCAAGGTGTATCCTGACATACGCTTTTGTTCCAGTTGTTTTGAAATCTTTTGGGTGGCATTCACCTTCAGGCAGGATACTAAGTTAAAAATTGACGGCAGAGCAGGGATTCTTCAAGGCTAATTTCAAAGATCATAATTTTCCGTTTTTCCCCTTGCTCTCTCCTCAGGCTGATGTGATCCTCCTTGTTACATGTTCTATCAGGTGAGAACTTGTTCACTAGCGGGTGAATATATCGTACGTTATAGTGTTTCAGCTAACAGTGCTTGGCTGGCCTACCAGTGGAATTGAACTGATAGACCCATGTTAGTCTGACAGAGTTTTATAGCAGCAGAGATGGTAACAGTGCAGCTGGCTGCCACTTGTTGGGACAGTCTGTGCCATGTCCTGTGCTGAGCCCTGTAGAGGCAGTGACATGAATTCTCACAATAGCTCTCTGAGCTAGGTGGTGTTAGTAAATTAATTTGTAGATGAAGAAATGGAGTTATCCAGCTTTCCCTTACGTTTTTGTAACTAATGGCACATATTTCTGATGCAGTTGGCTGGGCTAGGGTTGTCATTGGTCAGGGGACAGAGCTCCTCTGAATAGATCTGGGTGTCATCCACCCACTTACTTGCTTCCTGGTTTGTATGTACAAGGAATGTTACTGTTAATGTGTCCACAGCTGGCTGAACCATCAGTTAATCAATTAATGAGCTGAACATTTTTATTCTGAGGGCCTTTGCTGAAGAACGTTAAACTAGGTGCTTTGGGAGACTCACAGGTGAGACCACCACTGAGTCTGGCTTTAAGGAGCTTAGTGTGATACCTGAACTAAGATAGGGAAAAGCTCTAACATAACACATGGCAGAAAGCCCTGGTGGTAGTGGGTAGGGTGGGATACAGGGAAAAGTACTTAAAGTGGAAGGCTAGTTGAAGGGGAAGCAAAAGTACTTCCAACAGGGGAGACTTGGGGAAGGCTTTGTGAAATAGATTGCTTTTGAGTTTGATTTAAAGCTTTGTCAGGATTTGGAGATGCGCAGGAAGGGCATCATTCTGGGAATGGTGAGTTATAGCAAATGGTGTTTCTTCAGCTGACCTTGTACCTACCTTCCCTAAGCCTAAAAGGTGAACATTTATTTAAAAGATTGAAGGTTGTTTTCGTTTTCTTCCCATTGTCTTATTTCCTCAGTTGCTCTATGGTTTATTTTCTGTTCATTTCTGCCTTGGCCCTTTGATCTTTGTAGAGAGAAGGCTGAACAGACCATCTGGAATCGTTTACTTCAACTTAAAGCCCTGAAGACAAAACGGCCCCGCTCTAGAGTGCCTCTGAAGATTGGGATTCTAGGTAACCGTGATTTATAGATTTTGTCATTTTTGAGGCTTTCTTTATGTGCTTGTTTCCTTTAAAGACTGGATTCCTGCTATATGAAGAAGTCCCATGTGATCCATACAATCCTTGTACTTATGTAAGAGACAGTAGGATTATATGAGATAAAGCTTATAAAAGGGCTTTACATAATGCTTTAGAATCATGTTAAGTGCTGTCATGTCGGTACTACTCATAGCGACCTTTATAGGGTTTCTGAGGAATGGCTGGTGGGTTTGAGCCATCAGCCTTGCAGTTAGTAGTCCATTGCTTATCCTACAGTGCCACACCAGGTGCTCAGAAAGTGAGATATCCTTATAGTCTAATGAGGATCCTGGTGACCAGCGTTATGATTAGGAGAGAATTTGGAGTCTGAAGAAGCAGCATGAGTTTACAAACATAGTCACCTTTGACCTTAATTTCTGAAGTGTGGCTAATCTAGATCTACCCTGGCCAATAAAGTAGACATTAGCCACATGTGGCTAAAATATAAATTAAGTAAACTTCAATTGAGTGGTGACTGGGGTCTTACAAGTTTTTCAAAAGGCTATCTAAGATGCAACGATTGGTCTTTCCCCAACTGGAACTAGAAGAGTGAAGAAAATCCAAGACGCAAGGAAACAGTCCAAAGGAATAATGGATCACACAAACCTCAGTATCCACTATCCTGTGAGACCAGAAGAACTAGGTGGTGCTCCACTCTGATTGGGATGACAGTAGAAGTGTTTTTTTTTT